CTTCGGGACACTTGAGGTTCTGAGCATTCAGTAAACTGGAGGCTGTTGGTTTTTGACTTTTCCCGAGCAAGCTGGGTTTCCAAGTAGAGGTAACGCTACTTGAGGGTCACAGCTTGCCCACCGGCACTGCCAGGCAGTGACCACAGGGCTGTAAGCCTCTGCTGTCTCAAGCTGGTTGGGTTTCAAGCAGGAGGTAATCCTACTTAGTGTAGCCCTACTTGCTTTAGCGACATAAGTTCGGCATCCAAGTGGGGGTGATCCTACCTGAGGGTGCCTAGCAATTGCCATGAATATGGTTCGAATTTTCAGCGAATTTCAGTTTCCAAGTAGGGGTGATCCTACTTCTGGAAACTTGGATTTTGCAATCTCAGCAGCGTGGGCTGCTGTTGGTTTTGACTCCCCCAAGCAAGCTGGGTGTCGGCAGTGCGCTCACAGATATGGGCCTCTGCTGTCTCAAGCCGTTTGGGTTTCAAGCAGGAAATATTCTGCTTGGCTTCAGTGACGTAGGTTTGGGGTCCAAGTGAGGGTCCTACTCGTTGGCACCCGTTTTTTTTTTCTTCTTTTTTTTACGTTCTCAGTAGAGCTGGAGGCTGTTGGTTTTGACTGCCCCAGCAAGCCAGGTTTCCAAGTAGAGGTAACGCTACTTGAGGTTCACAGGTTGCCCATGGGCATTGCCAGGCAGTGCCCACAGGGCTGTGGGCTTAAGCTGGTTGGGTTTCAAGGAGGAGATGATCCTGCTTGGTGTGGCCTTATTGCCTTAGTGATTCAGGTTTGGAGTCCAAGTGGGGGTCATCCTACTTGCTGGCACCCGTGTTTGCGTTTTCAGCAGAACTGGAGGCTGTTAGTTTTGCCTGCCCCAGCAAGCCAGGTTCCAAGTAGAGGTAACGCTACTTGAGGTTCACAGGTTGCCCATGATCATTGCCAGGCAGTGGCCACAAGGCTGTAGGCCTCTGCTGTCGTAAGCAGGTTGGGTTTCAAGCCGGAGGCAATCCTACTTGACGTGGCCCTACTTGCTTTTGTGACATAGGTTTGGGGCCCACGTGGGGGCGATCCTACGTGGTGGTGCCTTCCACTTGCCATGAATCTGGCTCGAACTTTTAAGCGAATTTCAGCTTCCAAGTACGGGTGCTCTTACTTCGGGAAACTTGAGGAGCAGGGCATCTATGGGCGAGTTGGCTATGGTGACCTTATGGCAGTGAAGGCTTGCCAGGACGAGAGTGTCACCAGCTTGACTTCAGAGATTGAAGAATGCTTCGAGGTGATCGAAGCAGTGATGCGTTTCGAGCCAAAACGTGAATTTACAGTTTTGTTGCTACCAATTGCGAAGAACTACAATTCCTGTGGCAGCCTGCAGAGACCCACATTGCGCAGTTGGAGCTCTCCATGGTAATTTACACCTTGAGTGAGAGCCCTGGCCTTCTCCGCCATCGACACGGTCTATGGTTCCTCGACGCTGTGGCTGCAGTCATGACCTTAGTGAGGGGACGTTCTAGCAATTCGGACCTAGCAAAGCTAGGCCATCTGATTCCTTTGGCCCTCTTCGCACTGCGTGCCCAGGGCTACTGGGAGTACGTCCAGAGCAAGAGCAACTGGGCCGACGACTTGGTGGCGCTGCCATGGATCTAGCTTTCATTCGTCTTACCTCCCCACAATCTTTTTCCAGTTGCCATTCGTTGCAGTCATTCTCACCTTTGAATTCCTCTAGTGCTTTGGGTGTTTGAGTGCATTGGGTGATACCTGCAAAGGCAGGTCCCAACCTGGGGTGACCAGGTTGCTGACCAGAGGTGATTCGGTCTGGGGCTATGTGCGAGTCACATTGTGACACATCCAAAGCAAACCTGAGGAGAGCAGGTGAAACAGACTGAACTTTGGCAGGTGGTTGAAAAAGAGCTGTGCGCGGAAGACGTGGTGAGTTCTTCATATGTCACTTTGAGATGTATTCATGCATTGAGTTTGGCAGGCTTGGGTGTGCATGTGTCATCTTTAAGTGAGTCAATGAATGCTTTCATTTTGGCTCAAGTGGAGCTGAGCCAAAATAGCATTCATTGCTGTTTCTTTCCCCACCCTCCCAACCCTAAGAGCCGACCTCCCGTGGAGATGTCCGCCTAGGTTAGGGGAGCCTGCATGGCAGGCGAGTACATAGCCTCTTTCGGGGATACTCTTTTGGGGCGACCAAAAGAAACTTCCCTCCCTTAGGTTAAGGGACGGGTGATACCTGCAAAGGCAGGTCCCAACCTGGGGTGACCAGGTTGCTGACCAGAGGTGATTCGGTCTGGGGCTATGTGCGAGTCACATTGTGACACATCCAAAGCAAACCTGAGGAGAGCAGGTGAAACAGACTGAACTTTGGTAGGTGGTTGAAAAAGAGCTGTGCGCGGAAGACGTGGTGAGTTCTTCATATGTCACTTTGAGATGTATATATATACATACATATATATATATACATACATACATACATATATATATATATACATACATATACACACATATATATATATATACATACACATGCATATTTGCAGACAATTTGCACATTAGAGTACATTAGGATATCAAATATTGTAATTTCCCATGTCATTCGACATCGGGTCGGTTGCCCAGTGGGTGACATGTGCCTGTTCTCATTGCATGCTCCATTCAAGGGGAATGTCCACGGCCCCTTGTTCATGCATCCCTCTAAAAGCGTTTCATTGGTTTGAGGTCAGCATAGTCAGCATGCCATTTGAAAGAGGCCAACTTACGTATATTCATGCATATTCAATATATCGGTATATTCATATCTCTTGCGGGTCACATATTAACACATTAATTAGGCATACGAGAGTATATGGAAAGATGCATATTATATATATATACATAGATAGAGAGCAACTTTTATTTATAACATTTATAGTAGATCTTTGTGTATATATATTTATGTATCTATATATATATATATAGACACATATGCAATGACACATTTAACATTTATTTATAATAGATTCTTCATTCACAGACACACACACATATGTGTGTATGTATATATATATATACATACATGTCTAGCTCTAAGATTTTTTCACAACCTCCCCTGGGCCCCCCCGTGCAAATTCAGGCCTGTCAGTCTGGTGAGAAGGGTCGATGTGTGAGTGCTGCGCCCATCATGCACTACTACATGTGGCCTGGCTTGGCGGTCGATTTTCCTAAACCCATAGGATGTTGTAGGAGAATACCCTCTGGTTATGTCAAAATAGCTATGGAACATGGCCATAGAAATAGTTGATTTTCCCATTAATAGCATGGTGATTTTCCAGTTTGTTATGTTAGTTTACCAGAGGGTAAATGGAGGTTTCCATAGTCATGGAGGATCCCAATAGCTGGATGGTTTGGAATGGAAAATCCGTTTTCTATGTATGGATGATTTAAGGGTACCCCCCATTTCAGGAAACCTCCAAATGAGGTTGATAAATGGGATAGTATGGTTTGGGTCTAATCTAGCTGAGGAGGGTTTCGGGTGTGATAAATGGACAGTTTTGGGGGGAAACTTATTGTACGTACAATCATCGGATCACAAAATAGATAATTTTCCCACAGTTTTTTTTTTCGTATACTCCTACTTGGGATGATGTTTACAAAGGCCCAAAATGCTTGGTGAATGGGACGGTTTAAATTATTGGATGCCCCACATTGAAAACAAGGGGGGTACAGGCTCCAGAAATATGCAAACATGGAGGAGTTACGCCTCGATTTTCGATATTTTCTCTATTTGTTTGACATGGCCTCTGGAATCCAAATAGGGTATGGGTATCCTATGGGTCAAAACCCGACCATCCCGTGGCAGCCCCATTGGATTCTGGACATGGCAACGCTGATATTGGAGCGGTCGGATCTTGCGACCGTTCTTTGACGTTTAAACATGTTCGCTGCAACCTGGACGTTTGCCCGGAGTTGATGTCCCGCCTTCCTGATTTTGATCCCTCATGAAGATAAAGTTGATGTTATTTCCCCAATCAACATACTATATTATTCTGTTATGTCACAATCATGAGTCTGGGCGAACGTTAAGGTTGCGGACAACATGTTTCAACATGTGCAGATTCCGTTTTGAATCGCCCAAAGTTTGCGTCCCCCGATCTGAAGGTATCGGGTGCAGAATGATGAGGCCTGCAGTAGCGGAGAGGGTAGCGGAGGAGGCTTCACCGGCTTCGCAGCTATCATGATATAGGGGTTTCAATGGGATTTTACTGTGATTTCCATGCAATTTCCTGGGATTTCATGGAATTTCATTGGATTTATGTAATGGGATTTAATAGGGGTTTCCTAAAATGGAGGTACCCCACGCGCTGATCAAATTGAGTTTGTCTTACGGACCGAAGACGTAGTTTTCCGTCACCAGTGAATGATGGGAATGGATTGCGGCTCCCCATAGCTGGCCGTATGAGGGTGGATCCCCGATTTCGGTCAAAGCTAGTTGGTTGCAGATTGATGATAAACAACTCAAGATCAACATTAATCATTAGTATTATCTGGTTGGTGGTTTGGGACATGACTTTTATGATTGGGATTAATAATCCCACCTGACTAATATTTTTCAAAGGGTTGAAACCACCAACCAGATTAGTATTTTGATAGGTATTGACATATGATCGACTACATCATACATCATGCTTTTTTTCCTTGTGTATACAGTCATAGTCCATATCTTCGAACATTTGGCCAGCCACAGTTTTATCGAAACTGGATCCCATAGAAGTCTTGTCGACATGTATATCCGAGGAAGGACACAGCATGGTTTGTCTTGTTAGATCATGTTAGATCACTCAATTTCCGTTGCTTCCCAGGCATGAAATTCGTGAAAATTGCTCTCCATGGTATGAATGTTTGATTGAAAAGCCAGGAACAAATCTGAAATCTATAGATGATGGGATCGAACATTGGCGGTTGGTGTTCCGGATGGGTCCCTCTAGTCTCGCTTCTAAGCACGGGTTGGAAACATCAGGCTTTTCCAAGCACTTCCCCCAATGTTGGTTGGTGTTTGCATAGTTTGGATTCCCATTCGTGTTGCTGAAATCGGCATATTTTCTGGGTGAAACAGGCGTTTCCTGACATTAATTGTTGTTAATGACGTAATTTACTTCCCCTTGAAAGTTTGTTGAACATGTCATTTCTTGCTGTTATGTAGATGGTTTTGTCGGAAGATAGGGTACTGCATAAAAAAAGAGGAATTATGGTTCATCATCATGTTCCTTGTTAAGTTGGCGTAGATGGGAGTACACTCATTTCCAGACACACCCATGTATATATCTACATATATCTACATATATCTACATATATCTACATATATCTACATATATCTACATACGTATATTTATTTATATATATATATACATTGCATATATAACTTCCCAAGTTCCTTTGTTGGCACCTGCTTTCGGCCAGGACTATTCGCCAGAGAATCAGAACATGGCCAATATCCCTGGAGCTTTGTGGTGCTTCTGGCTAACTTTGGACAACAAAAATGGACAAACATTGGGATTTACCCTGCCTAACATTGGATTCCCAAACAGTACGAGTAGGGCTAAACATGACCAAAATATGTGGTTCTTACCCTCCAGTATCCCTCTAGTAAATTAACATAGACCCTGCCAGTCATCGGGCTTGGAAGATTCGTGAAACCAGTAAAAATGGGTGATTTGCAGGGTCAAACTGTGACAATTTACCAGAGGGTAATCTGGAATGTTGGTTAGAAGGGGTAACTATCCCAAAACATGGCTAAACATGGCCCAACTTTTCTACATCCAGATGGAATTTCGCATCAAAATCGAGGATTGCCATCCGGAGCAACCGGTAGGAACATGGGGATTCTTTTCAGCATTTTATGAGGAGTTCATGGGATATAAACCACCAATTCATGTTGTTGGTTTGTCTCTAAACCCCCAGTTACGGTAATTTTAAAATTTGGATAGGCAAACTGAGATGTCTAAACCATCAACCTTGGACGCCCCAGATTTTGGGAACATAGCAAAGGGGGTAGCGATTGAATGAGCCATGAACAAAATAGCCTGGTTGATGGGTTAATTTGTTGGGACTATTATACCAGCTAAATCCAGCTAAGTTATTGGGGATTATGATTGACCATAGTTGGGAAACCGATAAAAACCAGCTAGAGGACCTCCCCCTTTTCAATGTGGATTACATGGTGAATTTCCTGTTGTCACCAGAGGGGAGGTTAGCTTTGCGGTTGCCAAACTCAGATACGACAGTGCCTAGACAACTCCATTGGTCCATAAATATGGGTATGTTACCCCATATATTTTTAGATTTTTTTAGTACGTTCACCCATTTTGATGGGTACTTTAAGTGTCTGAGTGGATGCACCCAACCAAAACGGATCAAGTCTCATCACTGGGTAAACTCTAGCTGCAAATGTAGCCATGGAAAATACACCTATCCCATGCCTGCATCCTACTGTTTGGCGAATTGGCATTATGGGCTACAATAGTCATCAATAGAATAATTTTTATAACCCTAACAGGGATATTTTGAATGGCTCAACTATTTGTGGCTCTGGCCGCCAGGTATTTGCACAATGTCACTTGGCACGTGCTACCACTGGTTGGGGAGCTGTGAAACAGCAAAACGGTTGTTGTGCAACCGACCTGTTCATAAATTGTTGAAATGTCATTTAGGCTTAAATTCTAATTTCTAGCATTTCATGGTTTATGGTTATGACATGTTCTAACTGTTCAGAATAAAAGCAAGTTATGACATATTCTAAGATTTTTTTGGAGCCTTTCTAACGATATCTCTCAGGGTTGCCTGCAGATGTAGTGGGGTTTTACCTTTGTTCACCAGCAGAAATGGGGATTCACGTCCAAAAATGGCCGTTGAATAGGGACAATATACTGATTTTGCGCATAATTTTGGGTAGCCTATTTTCATCTATTTTCAGAGAAACCCAAATGAGCTTACTTTAGGTTGGTGAACTAGTCTACTTAGCCAGGCAGTTTGGAGCATTGGGGTACACCTAGGGAAGTATATCCATATCCCGTCGGTAAACGAGGACTGCTTACATCAATGATGTTCCAAGCAGCATGGGTTCATGGGTTACAGCAAACACTGTCTCAAAATGACCAGTTTGATTCCCGGATTGAAAACTGGTTCAATATCAAAGATATCTGAACATATTCAAACATATCCAACAAATCCAAACATAGTCGGAACATCTCAAAAACAATTCTCAAATAATCACAAGGTGAGGCCCCCGTCTACGATAGATAAATTGACTTAATTCGATTGGCTAACTACCGGATGGGCGCCCCCAGTTATAAGTTGGTTTAAACCCCATCTAAATATAGTTTTTTTGCTTATCATACACTATTGTGATTATAGTTATTTGCACCAACTTAGCTAACGAACTGGGGCCCCATCCTCTGGGGTTTTATGGCGGAGACAACGAGAGTATTCATGGGTTTATAAACCCACCTGGGGCCTCACCTTGCACCTGGAAAATCGCATTAAATCACCAGTAAAGCCCATTCAATCACCATGAAATCATCCTTAAACCCCAATAATTCCCATTAAATCACCATAAACCCTAAATTTATCACCATGAATCACAGTAACGCATTGAACATCACCATAAATCACGGGGTGAATGGAATTTATCACCGATGAAATCACCAAAATCCATCATTCCATGGTCCGAATCTGAACCCTGGGACCAGGAGATCGTGTGGCATCCCTGGCTCAGGCGCGGGACGGGACTATGATAACAATATGGTATGATACAAAGATATCTATACACACATTTTTGTGTAAATTATATATATATTATGTATACAGATAGATGATTTGCAACGGCCTCACTCCAACGTCCACTGGAATGATGCAGGCAGATCGGACATATACTCATATATACTGTATATATATAAATAAATATATATATAAATATATATATATATATATAAATATATATATAAATATATATATATACATATATATATATATATAAATGTATATATATATATATAAATGTATACATGGGCTGGGTGCGTTTTCCGGGCTGGGAAACAAAAAACTGTTCTTACCAATGGACTATATGAGTGCCGAGTTCATGGAAAACGCGGAACAGACATGAGTCAGCCCATTAGTACAACAGGTTCAAGGACACATTTCAACGAACACGAGACTTTCCCGCAAACCGCGAGAGATATACATATACAATATATATATAGTATATATATAGTATATATATATATAGTGTGTATATATATATATTGTATATACATATGTATCTTTTGTAAACATATGTATATTCTGTGTATATATATATATATTCTGTATATATACACAGTATATATAGATGAACAACGTCATTCCACTGTTTGGTAGAAAGTATATGTTTCCACAAACAAGGTCTATCCTCAATGGACTTCCATATTTGTTCGGGGTTGGGTGTTGAAACCAGCCAACCACAGTTCTGTTGATGGATTGTTTCAGGACATGGACTAATATGGGTTGTAGGTTTCGAGGTGAGAACCGGAAGAGCACTACTATTGTTGAAACATCCTTAAACTAGGGTTTCGAAGCAAAAAACAACAGGGCAACAATGAGCAGCGACCAAAAGCCTATTTTCAAAGGCACACGTCTGTAGGACAGAAGTGAGACCTGGGTGATGCTAGCGGTTTTTTTTGTTCCCTGGTCCAATGGTTCTGCGGCAGAATCTTTGGTTCCTTAAACTTTTTGGTGGCAACCCTTGAAACCAATTCACAACCCTGGTAAAACCACCGTAAATCCCATGTAAATCCAGTTTTCAGCATTGTTGGGAGTGAGCATTTTTGATGCTCCAATCATTTCGCAATTTTGGGCCAACTTTTCACCATTCTTTTGGTCCCCGCGCTGTGCGCGCGGTGTGCGGTGCCTGCTTACTCCAGGGCTGGTACCTATGCCGCCACGCCCAAGACACGTTGCTTGGCGCTGTTCAAGATTAGGATGGGATTAGTGTGGGTAAAACAATGTCATTTTTACCAGCCATACCACCTATAAAAATGGTGACTTTTCTGGGGGATGGTGCAAATGACATTGTACCCACATTAGATTCAACTGGTTGATTTTGTTTAACTACTGGGAATTGATGTCCATGAGGTGGGGACAATTAAGTAAGTATTGCTTCATCCAGAATAGTTTTGAACAGTTTTTTTTGTATTTTTCGAGCTACCCTCTGGTAAACTAACGTTACTATGGCAAATCACAATTTTTAATGGGTAATTCCACTATAAATGGTCATTTTCAATAGCTATGTTTGTTTACCAGAGGGTAACAATTCAACAAATCCCATCATTTGTATTGTTTTTTCATGCGTTCCCGCGATGATTTTGTGGGAAGAGATTGGTCTTGGAGGAAACCAGCCATAAAACAATGCTAATTGTCGATTGGTTATATGGTAAGAAAACCTATTCACCAACTAGTTTCATAGGGGTATTTAACGATTCAACTGACTCAGCTCTAAGATTATAGATCATCCAGACACTTGCTGGTTCATAATATGATCGAAATAATATCCTACTTACTCTACTAGTCAGCAGGCGTATAACCTGCTTTTCTTTGAATAATAAACCACCAAGGTCCACATACATCGCGACCTACTTTGAACCACAGCCCTACTCTCTTGTTGATTGGAGACCGCCCTTCCCAATGCTTGTGAAGGTGATTTCCGATGCCCAGGATGAATATAAGTTTTCAGCCATACTAAATATACACACCGGCATATACCTATGTTCATAAATCTATTCATACATACACTATCATAGACACATATATAGAAACACGCAGAGAAACATTGATAGATAGGTTCATAGATAGCTAGATTGATAGATCAACGCAAAACAAATGTTTGCACAGCCAGGCATCGAGCGGTTCCTGGTCTTTAGCCGTGCGTCACAAGAGCTTTACGACAAGGGCTGCTCGGCAATGGGTCAAGTTGGGATGGTAACAGGTGAGTACGACCTTTGTGTAGATGTAGATGGGATACCCGAAATGGTAAACAAACAAACAGCTATTGAAAATGGCCCAGTCGAAATAGTTTATTTACCCATTAAGAATGGTGGATCCTTCCATAGCTTTTTGTATGTTTACCAGAGGGTATCACCCAACTTCTGTGTCCCAAATGGCTGCTTTGGGGAAGGACTTGAGTTGGAAATCAGGGCAAAATACCTAGCCCTTTGACCCCCAAAAAAGTTTGCTGAATGTAGGTGTGATTTGCAGCCTTAAAAAACCGGGCCCAATTGGAAACATTGGTTGCAGCCTGTTAATCGAGGTGATCGGTCAAGTTCTTGAGGCAGTTAGGGCCACGCTTGGAAAAGCTCAAGATGTTCTGCTACAAATTGAGCCCACGCGGCCATTCATACAATGACGGTCCCTTAGTTGTGGATATACTTATATACAGTATGTCATCTTGCATCCAAGACTGCAACTAGCAGAACTAGGAATTCATTAGGCTGCAAGCATATTTATTAATACCCTCCAGTAAACTCACATAGACATGGAAAATCCATCATTTGTAGATCCTTTTCCCAGGAACACCATTGGTTTTCCATAGCTATGGCTTTGTGAAAACTGGAATTGATATCATCGAACCCAAAGTTGTTGGACCTCGGCATCACCTGGTGAACGTAGCGATGAAACATCACCATTTTTCATAGGTAAAGATAGGTAATTCAATCATCATAAATAATCCACAGGCCACTATCCATAGCTATATGTCAACTAACTCAGCTAGCCAGTAAATAATTCAATCATCATAAATCATCTATAATCCATACAGGATGGTGCCCCCCAGTTATAAGTTAGTTTCTAAACCCCATGAACTATAGTTATATCTACCATAAACCATAGTTATGGGAGTTATGTTCACCAACTTAGCTAACTATGGGGCACCACCTTGTACAATCCATAGCTATGTTCAAGAACCACCCAGTAGTCTCTTGGACAACAGCGGGGAAACACATCGCAGCAGATCCATCGCAGCTTGTGACGCGAGGCATGAATTTTGGCGTCCCTCGGCTGCCATTTTGATAGGCCATACCCTCTGGTAAACTGTCACATAACGAACTGGAAAGATCCACCATTTTTCATGGGAAAATCAACTATTTCTATGACCATTTTCACTAGCTATGTTAGTTTACCACATAACGAACTGGAAAGATAATCACCATGCTCTTCTTTTTTCAGTCATCCACTATTTCGACTGGGCCATTGTTTAAATAGCTTTTTGTAAACGTTTACCAGAGGGTAGATTCGGAGATTAAGCCATGGACATGGGCTTTTTCCATGGCTTTTTGATGGGTGAACCCCCCTGAATTTTCAGGGACCACCGTCCCAAATGGCGGAGTTCTTTGTCGTGGATGGGCCGGTTGGAAATCAGAGAGGGTCACCGGAGTGCAGCGCTTTCCCCGGTTCTAACCAGCAGCGAATTTTGGCTGTCAGAATGAATCAACCAACTTTGCCTTACCCTCTGGTAATTTAACGTAGCTATTGAAAATGGCCATTTATAGTGGAATTTCCCACTAAAAATTGTGATTTTCCATAGCTATGTTATATAATTTACCAGAGGGTATCTCAGGCACGGACTTCACATCTGCTTGGTGCATTGAGACGTTACCCAATGCAAAACACTGCCAGGGGTCATTGACCTGTGCAATAACCAGAAACTGACCAAAACACTGGCCATATGAAATGCGTTCCGAATTCAAAACGGCTCAGCATAGACGATCTGACAGGGGTTGATTTCGACTCATGTCCCATCATTTTTTCCAACTGAGGTGGTGAACACTTACGATTTGGGCAAATGTTCTGGTCCCTACAAGTGTGTCTTGGCAATTGGCATCATGGAAACACCCGGTAAGGTGTTGCAGAGTTTATGTTGGTCGGTTTAACTACACCCCGCCCTAGGGTCATCATACGAACAGATGTGGAAGCCAATGATTATCCGTTTGGAACATGATCTACATTGTGGGTTTTCCACATCGAACTCTTAGTTTACAGGAGGGTAACTCTAAGATATATCTACATATATATATAGATACCATAAACCAACCATAAACCAACCATACACCAACCAGAACTAGCCGGTTGTAAATTAACTTAGCTATGTACTTGCCGGGGCACCACTTTGCAGGTGAGCCAAGAGCCTGAGAATTCTCGTCACTTGAGTCCAAACTGTGTTCTCAATATGGTATATATATATGTATACATTCGATGATGATGATGATGATGATGATGATGATGATGATGATGATGATGATATATGTATATATATATATATATATATATGTACATAATATATTGTAATAATTGTTACTCATACGTATTGTCTATATATATATACACTGTATATATCAGTATGTATATATATATATACATTGTATGATGATGATGTCTTTTCTGTTTCCAGCCACCTTGCGTTGCTTCACCACTTTGCGTCACCTTTACAGTGGCGTGGAACCATTCACTCTGTCACTCTGTCACATTTGCCATATCGAATCTGGACAAATTCCTAGACTCTAGATCCCGACTATTTTTTTCCAACAATAGTCTAGTATACAGGTAATACCGTATCCATTTGTATTTCCCTCCACTTGGTGGTGGTTTCAGATGTGTTTACAGTTTTTTTTTGCAATTCACATTCAAAAAATATGATATGTTCACCTCGCCCCAAAAATGATCATTTCCCGCCTCAGAAAATATAGGGGGATGGATCAGACCTATCTACCAAAAGCAGGGGATTTTTTTACATCCGCAAATCACAAAGCCGTGAATCGCCATCGAATGCTCTAAAAACGAGGGCCCAACTCAGGCTGAGACGACCCGCCGTTGGATTTTTTTCACACGGAGGATCATCCCACGAATTGGTAAGTGGTGGAAAAACCACACGGTGATCGCGTCCCCTTTTTTGCGGCTTATCTCATTTATATGTATATATATACATTTATATGTAAATATGGTAGTTCACTAAACCCCAGAACATTTTAGAACCACTCACTACGTAGCTGTGATAAATCAACATGATATATCTCGTTAAATCACCAATGATTTCTCATCGGAAAGTGTGGTGCTTCTGGTAGCACCCAGGTGAAAATCTGGAAGAATATGGCCCAGTGGTGGGATGTGCCGCTTGGTCATATGGTTTGTCTGGGGATATGCAGCTATGATATATGCAGCTATGATATGTGTGTATATATATATAGGAAATTATAGGAACCTCAGAAAAAGATAGCAAACTACTTTAGTGGTAAATTGAACCTTCTCTATCTTTTGTTGTAATCTAGAAAATACATCATCTCTGGATACGTGAAACAAGGACTTGGATTGGGGGAACCATCCCGAACAAGGGCCCAAGCTGGTAAAGGCTAGTGAATCACCAAGGACCAATTTCTTGGTAAATGGATGACATTTCCTGGTTGCTTTGAGACATTGTTGAACTGATTGCCTTATATGACTGGTTGGTGGTTTGGAACCATGGAATTTTATGACTTTCCATTCAGTTGGGAATGGAATAACATCCCAACTGACGAAGTCATATTTTTCAGAGGGGTTGAAACCACCAAGCAGATTATTATTAACCATCATTAAGCATATAATAACCATTAACATTAACCATTATTAACAGTATATTAACCATATGTCAACCACCAACCAGTATAAATTCCAACGATTTTTTGCACTAAACCCCCTCCCTGAGATCTGTGAGATCCGCCCGTATCTCACAGACGCCAAGGAGTCCTGGAATCCAAAGGCTGAGAACAACTTTCCTCATGGACAATGGACGGGGACCAATGTCTATCCCAACGTCCCTTAGCCCACAGAGAAGCTGTGCTTGGAAATCTTGGAATGGGTGGTGATCAGGTAGAAAGGGATTTTTTTTTGGGGCACCCAAATGCGGAACATCTTAAATCATCTTAAGAAAAATGTGTTTGGGCGATTCAAGAGTGATCAAGAGTGCCAGAAATCTAAGAGGATCAGCAAGAAAAGTGACCTTGGATGAAAACCCCGCAATTTTTTCATGGAACATCCAACTAGTTTGTAGCTGAAATAGCGATTATAGTGTTTCATTCCCAAATTAACAGAGGTATTGTTTAGTCTTAACCAGCCAATTGCTAATCATACACTAACAGTGGGGATGGGATAGCAACGCTTTACCCCGGGGGAGAAAATCATTCTGGAGTATTTCCCTGCCATTCATCACCAACTGAATCCACAAGTTCATCATTGATATGGATGGAAAATGATGGAAACAAACGGGAGTTGATTACCCAAGAAACCCATCTGGTTTTATGATGTTTTATTCCACATCATCTGAAATGGAGATGATAACGATCGGATTAGTCTCAAGACCCAAATCGGCTGGTCACTCATGGTTTCGCTTCAAACTTGCCATAAATTGGGGGTTCGATCCCCCATTTCCAGACACAGTAAAATCACAAGGGTGGTTTACGAACACAGAATTATATCACCAGATTGTAGTTGTTTCCTGGTTTACCCCTGTTTACCCGCCATTTTTTGTTGGGTGAATCCCCATATCTACTGTGGATGGTTGCGAAATCCTGCACCACCAAAAGGACGGTTGAAACCCTATAAATAGTGGGACAAACCATCTATCAACTGGTGCAGGATTTCGCAACCATCCACCGTATCTCAAGAATTCGATCATGAAGAACTTCACAGGGTTCCCGGAGGGAGCCGGACCCCTGCCGAAGCTTTCTGAGGCTGTTTGGTACAGCCTGCCTGGAAAGTGCCTGGATCTGAAATCTTCCCAGGAATATCTCTGTCTCTACGTACGTATATATATATATATACATACGTATAAATATATATATATATATATTTAGATGGTACAGCATTATTTATTGTTATGATGTTATATGTTATATTATATATATTATATTATATATGATGTTATATGATTATTATTCTATTGTTATCAGTATTATATTAGTTTTCTTGCTACAATCATGAATCATTACAATGATACTGTCTCTCTCTCTCTCTGCATGTATATATATATATATATGTATACACATATGTAATATATATATATATGCATATCATATAGCTTTATGTAAATGTTTGTGCAAAGAATATCTCTTTACTTACGCATATCATATATATTTATATATATATACATACTATACACACAGAGATAGCTCGATCGATAGATGTGATGGATCAGTTCCTGGTTCACCACCACTTTTCATGGCAGGTCTGTTTCAGGTAACGGTTTACTGGGCACGAGTCAGTCAACCATGGATACTCTTTGAACCACGTCCATGTATATATATATAATTATATGATAGATGTATATGTTATACCAGTTCATACCACATATGCATACATATATATATATGTATATACATATATATACATACACATATAATACTATATGTATGTATGTATATATATATGCTAATATATGGATAAAAAATAGCGACCTTGCTGTGACGTCACTGTAAATGATGGTTGGGATTGCGGTAACTATCCCAGAGCAGCTTTATTGAGCTTAGTGAAGTATTGATTATCAACTAATATATATATATATATACATAATATGTATATGTATATGTGGTGCCAAGTACAACCTCCCCCCATGGGTACTTGCACAGATCATCATAGATTCGGCCACTTCAGGTGCAGTAGCAAGAAGTTTTGGAAGCAATCAGGAGATGCTGGCAATGTGTCCATGAGACTCTCCACTAGGATAGTCAGATAGTCTAAGCAGATCATTTCTGGTTGGTGGTTTCAAACATGAATTTTATGACTTCCAATTCATATATGGGATGTCATCCTTCTCATTGACGAACTCATATTTTTCAAGATGGTTTTTTAACCACCAACCAGTTTCAATCGAGCCCCAAAAATTCTCCCTGAAACCGTCCATTGGCGAAGATTCTTTTAGTGAAACAAACCGTCCTTCGGTTGGGACGATCCATACCCTCTGGTAAACGTTTACATAGCGAACTGGACAATCACCGTTTTGAATGGGTAAATCAACAATGAATGGTACATTTTCAATAGCAAACTGTTAAATTACCAGAGGGTACCCATCCATAACATCCATGACTACCAGCCATCTTGAACCAATGAAAGTCATGCACACTGATGGGTAATCAATCCCTATGAACATGTATTGATGATCTTAAAAAACCTGAGAAAATACGTAGGCCGTGTAACTTTCCCAGAATTTGCAGACACCTCTGCAACTGGCTGTTTTCCTGGCAAACATGGGTTTTCCAATGCTTTCCTGGTAAAGAAAAAGCCATGGTTTTTCCGATGTTTTCCGGTAAAAACCATGGTTATCCGATGTAGATTTTCCCTTATACCAATCCATGGTTCAACTTGTCCGCCGCATGGAGGGTTTTTGGATGTCTCGGCTCAAGTGTGAAAGTCATAGGAGTACCATAGGTGCTATGAATTGTCAAATGTAGAAAAGAAGTTTACCATAGTTTAGCCTTTTTGTTCTGTAGATCTGTAGATCTATATTTTTGCGAACACATAACACTGCATCCACTATCCAACCCTAAAGGATTCAACAGACTTGGAGCTGCAAGCGGCCCCATGTTGATTCTAGTCTTCGACAACGACTCTTGTGATGGAAGTTCTCAAATTCTAAACTGGGAATACCCTCTGGTAAACTAACATAACTATGGAAAATCAAAATTTTTAATGGGTAAATCCACTATAAATGGTTAGTTTACCAGTGTGTATCAGAGATGATCAAACAAACAAAACATATTACCTCGGCATCCAAGAAAAAAAATATATACCTTCGAGCATAAGCAGTTCTGGCAGTTCTGGATTCCTCGGGGCTCTGAAGCCAACGAGAGTCTGCTGATCTAGTAACAGAACAATAGCTCCATATAAGATTTACATCATGTACATCTTTCAGATGTTTTTCACAGCTTGGTAAACTTTGAAAGAACTCCGGAACTCCGTGCCATTCATGGAAACTTCCACTTCGGTCTCTTCCGTATCGGCGTCTAGATGCAGAGGCACTGCCAATCAGACGGGATTCGATTCCTGGTTGCAGCTGGTAGTTGGAGGCCTCAGGTATAGTAGCATAGTGCGAACCAGAAAATTGCCATGTTTAGGTAAATCATCCAATAGTTTTCCATTTTCCACAGGAAACTTGCCAGAACATGGCCATGTTTTTTCATCAGTTTTGATCCATTTTCCACAGCGTTTTCTGTGACCGGAGGATTGGTGATTTTTCAGGCCATCTGGAGATGGGAATCAACGGTGGAAGTCCGAAAACCGATAAATCGAAGATCTTGGTTGGTGATTTGATAGGGATATGAATGGTGATTTAATGGTGATTTAATGGTGATTTAATGGTGATTTAATGGTGATTTAATGGTGATTAACCCTCTGGTAATGGAATATGAATGACTGGTTGGTGTTTTGGAACATGAAATTTTATGACTTCCCCAATAGTTGGGATGATGATCCAATCTGACGAGCAGATTTTTCAGGGGGGGTAGGTCAACCACCAATTAGATTCTTAGATGATGTTTTATGAAGCGGAATTTCGATGGCATCACTCAACAGTAGATCATTTCCGAAGAGTTTCCCGGTTAATTTCTCATCTTTTTGTAGCTTTACCCCAGGGTAAATCCCATGGTATAATATCCCCTTATATCCCCATTGATATCTCGTTAAACCTCCATTTTTCCCATTTGATAACCCCTTCATATCCCATTGAATCCCTATAAAAACCCATAAGATAGATGATGTTCCTAGCTATAGACCACTTCGTTGGGGAAAATTCTCCAGCCACGTTCCTGGTACATCACCAAGGAGATGGCAGCGTCGACCCCGTTACTGGAGCATTGGGTCTCCGCGTATCGCAACGACCACCGCGGCCGGCCACTTCTGGACATCGGCTGTGCCTACGGCCGCAACGTCTTGGCGGCGGCGCAGCGGCTGGAAGGGAGCCGTTCTGACGGAACGGAGGCGGGGCGGACGTGGCGTCGGATGGTGATGGTGAGTTGATTTCGTGAATGGGCTGATTTTTAGAGTGGCTTGATTTAAGGTGTCTTTTGAGGTGTTTTTTTTTCTTTGCCATATCAACATCTTTTTGAGGCATATTTCTGGATGAGCGTTGAAGTCTCTAGAGGATCTAATGTCATAAATTGTGTGGCTATAAAATGCACCAAAATTTCATGGGGATTCATCAATTCATGTCCATTCACTATGAGGATTCGTATCGCAGGATCACCATCCCGATCAGTGTGATCAACTGCGGGCAGGGTTCTATCCATTTGCTGAAAAGCAACATCCATTCGGTCCTTGAAAAGTTTCTAACAGGGAGGTTTCCTAAGTCATGGGGGAACCCCCAAATCATCTTAAAAGTAGACAATTTTTAGTGTTGAAACCCCTATGGTTTTGGGGATCCCCCATTCTAAGAAACCCTCAAAAACGGAGGTTTTTCGACCTGAAATGATTTGATCCCTGAAGGTTCAGATTGTGGCTTGCGACTGCGCAAAAGAACATCTGGCAGTCGTGGATGAGCTGGAGATTTCTGGGGTGAAAACTGCCTGGGGCAAGCTGCCGGAGGACTTGGAGGAAGCAGTTCCTTGATCGCTGACTACCCTGAATCCCCCTAGAAATTGGCAATTCTTAATGGAAACATCATCGAACTAGAGGATTTTCCAGTAAGTCAGCTCTGATTACCAGGGGGGTAATTGACTTGTTTAAAGCTGTACAGGGCTATTTCACTCGGAGCCGTGAGTTTGTAGCAACCCTCAGCTGGACACCCCAGGAACTGGATGTCCTAACTTGTCATCCCCAGTGCGTCCCGTCACTGAGACAGTTGCCGTTGCTGAGGTGCCATATTTTCAGCCAACACACATATAATTTTCAGCGCAGCATGAAACAAAATACCATCTCATCCATCTCCAAATCCATCAAAATTGGTGCACGCAGCCCCAACAGACGATGTATTTAAACCATGGCTGGTGGGGTTTCGCTGCAGGATTCTCACCAAAGGATCACCCCAGTAACTGCTGACGAAATCTGCTTTTTGTAAATTCTCGGGTTGCAACCCCCAAAAAAATCAAAAACAGATGGAGAATTATCACTTAAATACACTTATTCATGAGTTATTTTTGTAGGATTTTGACCCACTTCTATCATCTATCTTAACCTTGGGGGTATCATCCGTAGCGGCCGCGATTTCACCTTTTTTGGAGCGATGATCCCGGAGCCAGCAGGCCGCGGTGGCGTCGGACGTGGGCGGTTTCTCGGGCATTTTGCTGTCGGAAGTGCTCCACCAACTGCGCTTCGGTAAGGAGTGGCCATGGTGTAGCCGCTAGGGGTACAAGATGTGGAGACCAATGGTTTTTTGTTTGGAACATGACCATTTCATGGTGGGTTTTCCACATCTATGTCAGTTTATAGGAGGGTACCTTCCAAAAGTCTTTGGGATTATTCATCATTTTCCGTATATTAAAATAGCCCTTTGGGGGCAGAGCCTATTTTCAGACACACCCAAATCATTTCTACTGAAGATTCCGCGCGAAACCGAAAGGTTGTTTGGGAAAACTTCAGGATTCATGTTTGGTCGCTTGGGGTCGCAGGAACACATATTCTGTTTGCATATTACTATATATATATAATATATGATTATATATGATTGTATATGTATATACATATCATCTTGACTTTAAGATGATAGAACGCGTTTTTTTCTTTTCGGGTTGTAACATGTTGTAACCACAATTTGTCTCTGAAGGGCTCGCATGCAATACTGCCTAGAGACTTAAATGTTTCCATCCACAACCAGTAGCCTTTGAATCCCTCTGGACATCTTATCTGCCAACAAGAAATCCCAACCTTTAGTTGAAGAAATGGATGGTCATTGTGGATTATTGGCACCATGTTGGATTACCACTTCGGAACGGGGTCCCATCGAGTCCAGGGTGGACCTGGTGGCTTCATAAGTCAGTTGTGGTACCGAGAGGGTATCCATGGTTATACCATCTATTGTGAAGCATGGTGAACTAGCCCCAGTTGCCACTGAAAAATCACTTCGAAAGTAGGATCCAAAAACCTCGATTCTTGAGGCCTGGAAGCAGCATCGAGAAGACCCTGATGGCCATGATAGATCTGCTGGCGCCCGGGGGCACGTTGTGCATCACCATGTTTTCCCCCAACGCCAACTTCTCGGGGGGCGCCTGCCCCGTGGGAAAACACATGCGTCACGTCTTCGAGGAACGCAGAGGGGAAGGGAAGCGATGGCCTGGCGAAGGATTTCGCTTGAAGGAACTGTTGGAGGAGTTGAAGGCACCAGCAACTTGGTCTCTTTGAAAAAGTGGAGAGATTTGGAGATATTTTGAGGAAACCAGGTGATTCTAGTGCATTTTTCGGGAGGCGCTTTCTGAGTTTTGGAAAGTTTTGGGTTTTTGGGGCGGATTGTTTGATGTTTTGAGAATTGAGCCAAGTTTTGGAGATTATTGGTGTGAAATCTGCATTGCTGGTTGGTTGAGATTCCAGGTTGAGTAGCATGATCTCTATTGAAGCTAGTCAGTTCTGGAGTCACCCCATTCTTGTTGCTTCACTCCCACTGTTGGATGTTCAACTTCAATTTGTTGGAGATGTTTACAGTCAAGGTAACAGAAAAAACGTCATTGTTTTCTTCCCTCGCCTTGTTGGCTGGCAAAAGAATAAGATACTCTGGCAACTTCAAGGCAGCTGGAAAAGGGCCCATGTAGTTCGATGGTTTTCCTATATAAACATCTTTAGAAATTGTGATTTTCCAGTTCGCAAACTGCTTGTCCTTACCGAAGTCCAAATACATCTAAATCCCATGATTTTTTCCCATGGTAGATTCCGTGGATTTGATGTTTCGCCACCATTCTTTCCATATCTTTCCCTTATTTGTCCCATGAAAAGTTCTTGAAATTCGTTGAGCTCCTCCATTTCTTCATTTCTGATTTTTTCCACCAGGTACATTTGGACGCAGAGGCCATGAAGTGCTTCTGTGCCTATCATCACTGTGCCACTGCTGAGCAGTTGCGTCGGGCAGCCGAGGTCTGGCCGGCAGCATGTGAGGCAAATTGGTTTTGGGTGACCTTTAGGTTGACTGAGCTGGGGGTAACTATTTAGTTGATAGTAACTGGGGTAGCTATATAGTCTATAGTTGCTGGGGTTGTTTAAAAATGGATGTGAATGGGGTTTATAAACTAACATAGCTGTAGATATAGTATAGAATATGGTAGATATATGATATATTTCTATAGTTGAATATAGTGTAGAAAATATGGTAGATATATTTCTATAGTTGATGGGGTTGAGAAACCATCCATAAACCTTGGGGGGTGCCTATTTATAAACCTTGCCCGAGGTTTCGAGGTCTGTGGTTGACCTGGAATTTTTCGGAGGGTTGGTTTACACCACCCATCTATGCTGAGGAAAATTGGGGATGGTTTTCATTATGGATGGTGTTTGGTGTACCCCATATACCACATTAAGTGTAGAATATGGATTAATATGGCATAGGATGGTTTATGATGGATGGTTCTAATTTATGGTTCCACCTTGGGGATGGTTTATTATGAATCTAAATCGCCCAACATTGGCATAGAACCAACCAAGTTGGAAGCATAAAATGAACGGACCACTATCTTGGGAACCATCAAATGGAATGGGGGTTCACGGAATTATCTGGGTAAATTATAACGACCCCACTGCGACCTCACTGGAATAATGGTTAGTATTGGAAATCATCCCCAAATGGCCCAACAATTCAGGTTAGTGAAATATTATAATTTACCCAGAATTATTCACCCTCCTCCACGAACCACTATCAACCATTAACCATCCATTACTCTCTGGCAATTTTACATAGCTATTGAAAATGGCCCACAGAAATAGTTGATTGATGTTGATTTACCTATTAAAAGTGATGATTTTCCAGTTCGCAAACTGTTAGTCTACCAGAGGGTAACCATCCATGAATCGATGGATTTTCCCATTCACACTGTCCATTGATCTCCGCAACGGGCCAGGAGGCGGGGTTCCAGGTGCTGCTGGCGCAGCAAGCCCGGCACCCGGGCCATGCGGAGGCGTTCTGGGGCTAAGGAGGGGAGTCCACGCAGCTGGTGGCAGTGAAACCGAAGCCATCAGAGATGGAGATCTGAGGATTTTGGCATGGATTTTCTGAGATTTCTGGAGGATGTCAATGGAATTTGCATGGAATCTTCAGAGACTTTCAGAGAAAAATTGGATAGAAACTTGGAGAAATTCACGGAGATTTCTTGGATTTCTGAGATTGTTTGGTTGAAATGTCCGAAGAACATCCTCTGAACCTTTTTTTTAAACATATCGGAAACAAATCACCCAAAGTTGGTGGTTTCGGGGATTCCTTACACCTTTCTAGCTCTGGGATCTGCAAGGTTCTCAGGGCCGCATGAGGGGAAGCCCAAGGTGGTGCGCTGTAGCTGACGGAGAAACCAGCCGCCAGCACAGTCCAAGAGGTGACCTTTTTGATGCTCACCTTTTGAAAAGTTGGGACTTTCCAACTGGCTGCGAGTTTGGAAAAGAACTCAGTGATCTCCACAAATTTCCTCTTATTTCTCATTCGCAGTTGTGTCGCTCTGTTTCTGTTTCGTCGTTGAATATCAGATGGCTCGAAATGATCGAAGGGATCTGTGGAGGGACGATCACGTTGTTTCACACCGTGGAAATGACGTTGGACACCGTCATTATTTCAAAAGAATATGGGGATGGATCCTAATCCTAAGTGATCTATGAAATACCATCTGAAATAGACATACATCATACCATATTTATCCATATTATGGATCAGGTATGATCAGGTGATCTATGAAATCCTATATTTGGGGGATGGACATCCATGAGTCCCAGCTATGAATTGGTGTGACAACTTTTGACCGCCCATACCCATCTTAGAGTAACATGTCGAACTGGATCATCTGGAAGGGCGGAAAATCCTGCAATGAGGACATCTTATCTACTCAAGGGACATGTGTCCGCTGGGGCTAATTTCATCTAATTTCTCCATTTTCAGCAATGATTGATGATTCATAGCCTCATTGGTAGTTTGAATCCGTGATTTTCTTGGTACCCTCTGTAAATCCCAACTACTGGATGCTTCAACCAGCATCTCTTCCAATGAAATCACCATGTCTGTGGTGAAATTTCCCATTTCGTCAGGAGATTGTGCCAAGAACGAGCCCAGTGGAGCTTGTCCTCTGGGCGTCGTACCGACAGGTGCAGCCTGGAATGATGGTTGGTTTTCCTATGACATTCGCGTTTATGATTGGTTCTGGTTGGTTCCAACCTATCATTCCCCTTTTTTTCTCCATATGTTTGATGGCTTATATGTGGGGAATCATCCCCATTTATGGTGACATATGATGACGAATTATGCCATTTTCATGGGAGGGAATTTGGAATGTCCGGATCCATGGAACATGACAATCTTCGTCATCTTTGGTGCTTCAAATTGATAGCTAAAGATTTAATGTCAACCCCGGATTTAAACCCTGATTAATTGTGGTGGTTCCCCCAATACTGATAATAAATGGCTACTGAAATGGTACCCCAATTAAACAGCCGTTTGGGGGTTATTAATCCGGGACATTAAATCATAGCGGGTTGAACATGGGTCCAGATGTGGGGCCAAGTTCGATAGGTTTCTGTTGGTCTTTGGAAAAATCGATGCTTCCTGGATGTTCCTGGTTGAATGGAACATACTATCCGGCAACCAAACATGCCCTGCTTGGACAATCTATCTACTGGTACCATTTAGTTCAATGAATTTCCCAGCTGTAGACCTCCCAGCTGTCCTCCATTTAGATCTGGTCTAATTTTAGATGGTTAGAAACTATGACTATCATTGTATAAGATTGTATAAGTATGATTGATTTTCCCGTTCTAACTATCATAGCTGTAACTCTAAAACTATTAACTAACTATTTTGCTGTTCGATTTAAATTATAGTTTGACTATTTTCCTGTCCGAACCACTGGGTGAACATAAACCAAGAAGCAGTCCTCCAGTGGCTCAGAATAGCACACAGGCTGGCAAAACTAGGGTGGCATATACCACACAACCAAACATGGAGGTAGACCAACCATAATACAGGAATATCATGGGGATGGTTCATGGGATGTATAACCAACTTGATATGATTTTGGGTCTGAAAATGGTGAAATTCGCCACCAAAATGACACTTTTAATGGGAAACTTATGATCAATGGTTGTTTCCTAACAGTTGGAGTACCCCTAGTTATCATCCATTTTTAGATGGATTTTCCCTTATAAACCATCCAGCTATTGGGGTACCCCAATTTTGGGACCCCCCATATTCTTTTCAAAATTTGATTTTCAGAGTGTATTTTTCTTCGGTTTGAGGATCTTTACATGGAATTTCCTCACATGATTGCCTTGGATGATCCTTAGGTATTCGCCATTGTTCTGGATGAAATCCATTGACCAACTATTTTGGCGTTCACCGAGGGTGGGTTTTGACCCATATATATATATATACACAGTATATATATATATATCTATCGATCGAACTAGTTCATAGGGTGAGACTAAACCAAGATAACTATAACTATCTACAACTAGGCTATGCGGCCTTTGATATATCTATATATATATGTATATAATAGTTTATTGGGTTATTGGGTTATTACATCAACCAACAAACGTTTTTGACGCATTGGCCACATTGGCCAGGTGAATGGACCTGTACCTATACCTATCAGAAGGTCGGTGAACTGAGGATCAGTTTCTTTGATCCAGACGCGCGCACGCTGCGTTTGTTTCGTTGGAGAGATGGGAGGTCACAGGAGGGGACACAATGGAGATATCATGGGAAAAAAGACCTGGGAATCGAATCACTTCATGAGAAACACCTCTGGGTTTGTTTGAACATAGCCCAAACATATGAATGTGTAATCATCATTTTCCCTATGAAATGTCGATCATTGGTGGTATATGTACCCCATTTCAAGAGCCAAAGATTTTCCCTCCCGTGTTTTTGCTTCGCCATGTATTTCCAGTGTTTAGGGGGGAGCGGCTTGGGGCTATGGGTATCTATTTTCTTTATCAAAGGGAGAGCCAAGGAGCTACTAAGAGTTTCCCAACCACATCATGGAAATGGCAAAATAAATCGTGTCGGATGTATTTATATAGGGGCCACTACATGACATAGCATGTGATATCATATGATTTGGAACTTCGACGCAAGGTCATTTGTCAGGGTGAAGTGGCTGCCCCAGGTAGTTGACAGAGAGGTTTAGGAATGATGATTTTGATCACCTGCTCTATGTTATCAGTAGCATTTATCTTAATTTGATAATTTCTATTGTTCCTACATACACATATAATCCTACGTATATACATACATAATATATAATCATACGTATATACAAATATATATATATATAATCATAGGTATATACATATATAATCATACATATATAATCATACATATATAATCATACATATATAATCATACGTTTAATACATACGTTTTTAATCATACGTATCATACATACATATATAATCATACGTACATACATACATATACATACGTACATACATACATACATACAGACAGACAGACAGACAGACAGACATACATCCATCCATCCATCCATCCATCCATGCATGCATGCATGCATGCATGCATGCACATGATATGCAATCAAATGTTCCCCATTGCAAGAATCCCAGTCAACCAGCCAACACACACACACACTGCATAGAGGGAACACCAACTTTTCCGTCGGGATGTTCCAGGTGGCACTGCTAAACGCTTACAGTTTGCGAACTGGAAAATTACCATCTTTAATAGGTAAATCAACTATTTCCAGGTGCCATTTGCAACAGCAAACTGTTGTTTTACCAGAGGGTAAATTCATAGTTTAATGGTGATTTATAATAGATTATAGGTGTTATATCGATTATATACTTGTAATAACACTCAATAGATTATATACTTATAATAAATTGAATGATATTCGTTACCATCACCATGTTCTCTATCATTTTCGATCGCTTCTCATCGTCTCAGGTGACATTGAAAACATCACCAGCTTAGAGGACCTCGTCGAAGGCTGGGGCCTGCCGGCCTGGCCGAGTATGGTTGGACAGTATGCTTTGAATTGACAGTACCCTCTGGTAAACTAACAGAAAACTATGGAAAATCACCATTTTTAATGGGAAAACTCACTATAAATGGCCATTTTCAATAGCTATGTTAAATTACCGGAGGGTAAATTTCCAGTATGGTTTGGAAGAATTGATGTCCTCTTTAAATCTATGGAGAATCTTCCATTGAAAACCATGATTTCCTAGGGACATCTAGGGATCTTTCTGTTTTTTTCCAGGGCAACTGCAACGGCGAGCTTTATTGTCTTTGGAGGAACTCCGTGTCAACGAAACACAGCCAGGTGGAGGCAGAGAATATAGCCGGAAAAACGACAAAGGAAAGAAACTGCACTTCTGGGCACCATGGCGGAGAATGGCCATTGGGGGTGGCCATGGGGGTTTCTGTCATGGGGAATCCTCAGGCGTCACTCAAATGGGTTTGAATGTTTAAAGTCATGGTCATCTATGACGACTGATAACTGGGGCAAGCCCATGACTTAATTCGGAAACCTCCAGATGGAAGTGTGTTTTTGTGGTGGCTGAAACCTTGCAGAAGTTTCGATTTCATGCACTTGTTGAGCTGGGGCCGTGAACCCCAACTGGGCCGTCTTTGAACTCAGCCTCTGAGGACAGCATCCATGATCCGAAGGCGTGTCAGAAGCGTGTAGAGAAGGTGAAGAAGATGTTTGCAGAGAAGCTCAGCCTGTCAAACATAGCCCAAGAGGGAACGGTTTTTATTCTGGGGGTAAAGCGGTAAAGCCCAAGTCACTGAAGATAATCAAGGTTATTGATATGTATGTATTAATATATGTATTATATATTATATATATTATATATAGATATTATACATTATATAATTATATATATATACACTATATATATATATAGCTATTTAGGTTTGACCTCAACAATAATGGGATACCCTTCTCCATGGCTAATGTCAACCCTGGATTTTCAGTTCGAAGACCCTGGGCTGTTGATCATTGAATCATTGAGAGATGTAGCAAGATGCTCCAATTTGTGTTGATATCAGGGATAGTAATATCCCTATTTTCACTGGCAGTGTCCATGGAATTCTGAGAAATATCACATAGATCATGATATATCTCAAGATTTTGCGAGGTGTTTGTCACAGTGTCCCCGTGTTTGTCATAAAGATCGCCATGTTTCATAAAGACATCCCCAATCCTACGGCGGATCCAGGAAGTATCCGGATCAGCCGGTTCTGGACGACCCAGCTTGTGACTTCAATGTGGGAAAGCTGCTTGGTGCGTGTGCGAGGTCACTCTCTGGCTAAGTTGGTTGAAAAATGGTTGAACTATGCTGAATACCCTCTGGTAAACTAACATAACGAACTGGAAAATCACAATTTTTAATGGGTAAATTAACTATAAATCACCATTTTCAATAGCTATGTTAAATTACCGGAGGGTAGAATACAATGATGCCATATAATATATCGATAGATACCAGTTATATCACTGGGTGAATGGTTACGCTGAATATAGATACCCAGATATAAACTATAGAATATGGCAGATATATCGATAGTTAATGGGCTTTTAGAAACCAACATAACTGATATGGCCCAGCTCGTAAACCGTTTGGGATGCTATCCTCAAGACTGGCCCGGAGGAATATACCCTCTGGTAAACTAACATAACTATGGAAAGATGCACCATTTTCAATGGTAAATCCACTATTTCTATGGCCATTTTCAATAGCTATTTCGACATAACCAGAGGGTACCTATGGTTATTTAACACTTTGCTGAAAGCCATGGCCGATAGAAATAGATGATGTATGACCACCGAACTAGAATATGGTGACTTTCCAGTTCGCTGCATTAAAAAACCAAAGGATCTTCGAAAACACATGTCCAAATCTATTGCCATGTAGATTGCTTAAAAAAAATGCTGAAAGCTCAGGTATATTTCCATTCTGTACTTTTTGGTAATTTGCTGCAGTTTGCTGTAGAAGCCATGGCCCAGAAATACTTCGCTGATCTATCGAACTTATAATTCGATCGTGGTTTTCCAGTTTGCAAACTGTTGTATTATGGAATATATATATATATCATCCCTTCTTATTTCCCTATTAATGCCATAATTTGATCTTTCACCATCATTTTTCCCATATCTTGGCCACATTTTCTACATATAGTTCGCTGATATGTTCATCTCTAGAGATTTTGCCCAACCTTGCTGTCGAAGTCTCCGCAGGTTTTACCCGTACTTCCCGGCAGGGACCTTTGACAGGCCACATGAAACAAATGCCACGAAGAACAACAACGCCAACATCAGCACCTTGCGACAAAGACCACTTATGGGATATTTAAGCAGAAAAAATGGAGATTTTCTTGGATGTTTCTGGTTCAAATCGGAACAACGTGGGGATTTACATTTATTTATCACCAACCATAGTGGTTTGTGGTTGGGTTCATTGGTGGTTTACATAACCATTAAACATTGGCATTTAATGCGATAGGAATGTGCATGGGATATATCCAATCTGGGTGTGTTATGGCAAGGAAAACAATCAATCTTCACCAACATATGGAGCGGTGCCGTAGCAATGACTTGTTGATGGACCTGTTGCAAACATAGCTTTAGGGTGAAAGCATGTACATAATTCATCATATTTCATCATAACTCTATGATATCTATCTATCTATCTGTCTGTCTGTCTGTATCTATCTATCTGTCTGTCTGTCTGTCTGTCTGTCTGTCTGTGTCTATATGTCTGTCTGTCTGTCTATCTATCTGTCTGTCTGTCTGTCGATCTCTCTCTATCTATCTACCTACCTATCTATCCTATCTATCCTATCTATCCAATCTATCCTATCTATCTGATCTATCCGATCTATCCGATCTATCCGATCTATCCTATCTATCCTATCTATCCTATCTATCCTATCTAATCTATCTAACCTATCTGAGCTATCTAAGCTATCTAAGCTATCTAACCGATCTAACCTATCCAACCTATGAAACCTATCTAATCTAATCTATCTAACCTAATCTGTCTAATATATCTAATCTATCTAATCTATCTAATCCATCTAATCCATCTAATCTATATATCTAATCTATCTAATCTATCTCATCTATCTAATCTATCCTATCTATCTATTTTTTCTGATCTATCTAATCTATCCTGTCTATGCTCTTTATCTAATCTATCCTATCTATCTAATCTATCTTATCCTTTCCTATCCTATCCTGTCCTATCCTACCCTATCCTGTCGTATCTATCTATCTAATCTAATCTAATCTAATCTAATCTAATCTAATCTAATCTAACTATCTATCTATCCATCCATCCATCCATCCATGCATCCATCCATCCATCCATCTATCCATCTATCCGTCCTATCTGTCCTATCCGTCCTATCCGTCCTATCCATCCTATCCATCCTATCCATCCTATCCATGCTATTCCTACCCATCCGATCTATCCTATCTTTCCTATCTATCCTATCTATCCTATCTTTCCTATCTATCCTATCTATCCTATCTATCCTATCTATCCTATCTATCCTATCTATCCGATCTATCCGATCTATCCGATCTATCCTATCTATCCGATCTATCCGATCTATCCGATCTATCCGATCTATCCTATCTATCCTATCTATCCTATCTATCCTATCTATCCTATCTATCCTATCTATCCTATCCATCCTATCGATCCTATCGATCCTATCTATCCTATGTATCCTATCTATCCTATCTATCCATCCATCTATCCATCTATCCAACTATCCATCTATCCATCTATCCATCTATCCATCTATCCATCTATCGATCTAATCTAATCTGATCTAATCTGATCTGATCTTATCTAATCTTAATCTAATCTAATCTATATAATCTAACCTATCTATCTTTCTATCTTTCTTATCTACATATTTATACAAGTCTTGCATGCAAATCATAGAGTTCAACTGGCGTTCTGGCTGAAGCGTGGCGTTCCCCCAGGCAATGCGACCCGCTTGCTGGTGACTTGGGGGAACCAGTCGAGATCGGCCGAATCACCAAGCGTCATTTAGGCCGACGGGCCATGGTGCGGGGACACCATTTGTTTGGGTGATGGTGATGGCTATAGAATCTCGTGAAAAAACAGGTGAACATGTGTTACAAATTCGTTACAAGATGTACGCTATGATATGACTATATCAAGTAAAAGATAAGCTAAGATGATGTCCGTAGACACAAAATAATTAGCCGTGTTTGTTTGTGCTTTCAGAAGCATGCTTGCTGCTTAGCTTTGGGGGTGACGTTTCCCCGCGCTGTTTCCCTTGCCGGAACTTATCTATACTGTATAGCAAATATGGGTGTCTGAAAATGGGGTATACACCCAGATAGCTACTGAACAATGGAGAATATGACGAAAAAAACATTGGATTTTGGATGATTTTGGGGTAGCCTATTTTCAGACAAACCAAAAAAATCTACTCCGTGGTCCGAATTCTGATTTGTTGAGAGATGCTCCTCAATGGACCAATTGACATGGGATAACTGCACCAGAAATCCCTGTGAACACGAATCGACTCGCAAATTTTCGCGACTTCACAAGGAGTCAGGGTTCATTAATAGAGGAAATCATCCCAGAGATGTTTCAGTTTTGTGAATTACAGCAATTTCACCTGGACAACGGGGATACATTCCCTCATTCCATCCCATGATTTATAACGAGGCACCCGGATGGCTAAGCTGTAGATGGATGTTGTTTTTTCCGAAATAGTATGGTAATAATTAATAATAGGTTTTGACCCAACAATATTATTACCAATTTGGTATCTTACTAATTATGATAGTATGATTTTAGCAAATTCTGGATAGTATGGTAATAATAAGCTATAATACTGTAGTATGATAGTATAGCTAAACGTTCATCTTCTGGACTTACAATGAATACCGAATCCCAACATGGCTGGCTTACTGGAACACCCACCATCGACCAGTCCATTTAGTTCGATGAATTTCCCAGCCACGTTTCATTACCGGAGGCTACCCGATATTGTTGGCTTACCCTCTGGTAAACGTTTACATAACTATGGAAGATCCACCATTTTCAATGCGTAAATCCACTATTTCTATGGCAATTTTCAATAGCTATGTTAGTTTACCAGAGGGTATATCATCCATCAATCATCCATTGACCAATCATCCATTGACCAAACGTCCGTTCATCCATTCACCATTAATCATTCATTCACCATCTATTGAATCTATATTCACCATCCATTCTTTCCATCCATTCCATGCATCCAACCACCATCTATTCATCATTAACCATCCAGTATCAACCATGGTTTTTCATCTATGAATGGATGATGACCAAAATAATCCCAAGTTTCCATCTCCTAAAATTCCTTCAGACGTCCTTTTCGGCTGCCCGGATCGCCCCGGAAGGTACCGAAGTTGGGAGTTCGTAGCTGCGAAAAATGGATGGTTTGGGGAAAACAACTATGGTGAGATATGCTAAAAATAGATAAAAATAGGTAACTTGACATCCCCATATTGATCATATTGGAACCATTTACCAGATGTATCTTTAATGGTTAAACTATCATGGATAATCATCAATATCTAATCGGATATAATATGTAATGGTTGACTATAACTATAACCATGAATATACACCATTGTTATGTATAGATGGTTTGCCATTGACCATTCATTGACCACGTAATAACCCTCTCTCGTCATATACAAATCCTTCTTTTCTTAACCATCCATTGACTATCCATTAGACATGAATTAACATCCACTAACCATCCATTAGACGTCCATTCAGCATCCATGAACCATCCATGAAGCATCCATTAACCATCCAGTAATTATCCGGAAAAAATCATCGATTGAACATCCACTGGTTCCAACCATTGTTTTACTGCTAGGAAGCCCCAAAAACAATCCCGGTGTTTTTCCCCTTCCCCAAGAGTTTTGTGAAGGCCCTCTTAACCTACGCGGATTGGGATACCCTCGCCGGAGATGTCCCATGACTTTGGGGGACCAGTCTTGGGGGGTATTGTTTAGTCAATGGGATGGGAATATTCCGATGGGAACAGTTACAGGATCGCCTCCAACCAAATTGGGGGGTCACTTATCGGGGGGACATGGGTTTGCCTCAGTCTCAATACCTGGGGAATACGCCTCAAGGGTTACCTCCGGTTTCATCAATGGAAAATCCCCACAATTTCTTTAGATGATTTTCCCAGCTAGACATCTCCATTTCTAGCGAAAATTCGATCATATGAATGATTTTTAACTGCCATCTTTGATTACCAGAGGGTTATTTTCATAGGGCAGTCAAATTTGAGACAACCCCAAGTAGTGGCAACTGGCAACCCTGGCGGTTTCAAGGTCCATTTTGACTACACCTTTGCCCCCAAGTTAACGATTCCAACTTCCAAAGGTTTCGATTGGTTGAACCCAGACTCCAGTTCAGATGGAAGTATCACAGAAAGACAAGACATTCAGCTCTCAGCTCAACCTGAGGCATAGATTTCATGCATGAAATTCGCCTGGCCCTACGTCACAACAACGGAGGTGGGGACCACCAGCCGCTCTCGTGGTCCCGGTTTTTCCCGGGACGAACTGGGACGCGTTGCAAGTCGAACTGTAGTGTCTCCGCTGCAACGGTGGAGGGTCTTCCTATTGGACCGAGGGTTGCCACGAAGAGTTTCTACCTGGTTGGTGGTGTGGAACATGGCTTTGATTTTTCCATACCCATAGGATCCATGTATGCTATATATGGTAACATTTACCATCAATATACCCCCAATGTTAGCGTATATACCATACATGGATCTTATTTTTCCATATATTGGGAATGTCATCATCCCAAGTGACGAACTCCATGATTTTTCAGAGTGGTTGATGATGATGATCCAGTAGTCGGGATGATGATCCAATCCAATCTGACGAACTCATATTTTTCCGGGGGGTTGAAACCACCAACCAGCTACGGAAATAGTGCTTGAAAAGAAGAGTTTCAGAGTAATGTGGTTCAAACAATGTCATAAACTACCCATGACTGCGAATGGTTTTTACAACCTATAAAAATGGTGATTTTTCGAAACTGGTTTATGATTTGTTGCCCAAAAATTAACCTTATACTCCCCCCCTTAAGTCATTAAATAATTGAGACCATTTATTGGATGTGAGACTCCACCGCGCTGATGAACTATCCCTTAAATGTGCAGGATGAACTTGGCAAAGTTTTGTGGTTTTAATTCCCTTTTTGATTGTTTATTCTTGTGCATAATCTATTATAATGTATATATATATTTTTGGTTGTGTCAAACCATGTCAATCCTAATTTCAGTTGGGCCCAATCCCTGTTTCGCATTCTGTCAATCCAGATTTCATTGATGTGTATTTGTTGTACTTAGGTATCTTAACAGAGGGGGCGGGTGATCATACACAATATTTCCGAAGAATTTGCGGCGCACAGGGGATACATTGTATTGTGTCTTATTCCGATATGCTATGATATTCAAATAGTATTTGAATACATGTGATCGATTGTGATGGCGCGTACATATTATATCATATAATATATCACATTTTATATCATATTATATCATATTACTACATAATATATTATATATTAAATTGTACTTAATTCTGAGGTGGCCTACCCCCCCACCCCCCCTTAAACGGTGGGCATGTAACCTTGCTGACAACGAACTGCTTTCTGTGATGAATATATGCTGAGATGGTGGTAAATCATAAAAAATGCTAGCTTTTTTTCAGAGAGTTCGAGAAGAAACACATATACGTCATATACCGAATACATCATTATACATATACAATAATATACATATATGATCATATATGCCTTTGCACATATACATAGATGTACATATTCATAAATGTAAATATACATACATACATGACTACATACATACAAAGACACTCACATACATAGTATAATATACATATACACATATATACATCGATGCATCTATCTATGCACTTAAACATATGTACACACACATATACACATGTATATGCATAGATATACATATATATATATATATACACGCATATATTATATACATTACACATATATATATACATATATATATATCTACATATGTACACATGTGTACACATATGTACACTCGTATACACATATGCACATAGACATATATATATACTGATACTGATACTGATACTGATACTGATACTGATACAGACACAGATACAGACAGACAGACAGCCAGGCAGGCAGGCAGGCAGACAGATAGACAGACAGACAGACATACATACATACACACATACACACATACCCACATACGTACGTGTGTATGTATGTATGTAATGTAATTTAATGTAATGTAATGTAATAAAATGTATGTATGTATGTATTAATGTATGTAATGTAATGTAATGTAATGTAATGTAATGTAATGTAATGTAATGTAATGTATGCAATGTATGTAATGTATGTATGTATGTATGTATGTATGTATGTATGTATGTACGTACGTACGTACGTACGTACGTACGTACGTATGTATGTATGTATGTATGTAATGTATGTATGTAATGTATGTATGTATGTATGTATGTAATGTATGTCTGTCTGTCTGTATGTATGTATGTATGTATGTAATTAATGTATGTAATTAATGTATGTAATTAATGTATGTAATTAATGTATGTAATTAATGTATGTAATTAATGTATGTAATTAATGTATGTAATTAATGTATGTAATTAATGTATGTAATTAATTAATTAATTATTTAATTAAGTAATTAATTAATTAATATATGTATGTATGTATGTAATGTAATGTGATGTCATGTCAGGTAATGTAATGTCATGTCATGTAATGTAATGTAATGTATGTATGTCTGTGTGTGTCTGTATGTATGTATGGATGGATGTATGTATGTATGCATGTATGTATATGTATGTATGTGTATGTATGTATGTATGTATATGTGTATGTATATGTGTATGTGTATGTGTATGTAATGCGATGTAATGTAATGTAATGTAATGTAATGTATGTATGTCTGTGTGTGTATGTATGTAATGTAATGTAATGTAATGTAATGCAATGTAATGTAATGTAATGTAATGTATGCAATGTATGCAATTATGTATTGTATGTATGTATTGTATGTATGTATTGTATGTATGTATTGTATGTATGTATTGTATGTATGTATTGTATGTATGTATTGTATGTATGTATTGTATGTATGTATTGTATGTATGTATTGTATGTATGTATTGTATGTATTTGGTATGTATGGTATGTGTGTATGTATGCATTTATGTATGTATGTATGTATGTATGTATGTATGTGTGTATGTATGTATGTATGTATGTATGTATGTATGTATGTATGTATGTATGTATGTATGTATTGAATGTATGTATGTATTGAATGTATGTATGTATGGAATGTATGTATGTATGTATGTATGTATGTATGTATGTATGTATGTATGTATGTATGTATGTATGTATGTATGTATGTATGTATGTATGTATGTATGTATGTATGTATGTATGTATGTATGTATGTATGTATGTATGTATGTAGTATGTATGTGTGTATGTATGTATGTATGTATGTATGTATGTATGTATGTATGTATGTATGTATGTATGTATGTATGTATGTATGTATGTATGTATGTATGTAATGTATGTGTGGTATGTATGTGTGGTATGTATGTGTGTATGTATGCATGCATGTATGTATGTATGTATGTAATGTATGTAATGTATGTAAGTATGTCATGTATGTAATGTATGTAATGTATGTAGTGTATGTAATGTATGTAATGTATGTAATGTATGTAATGTATGTAATGTATGTAATGTATGTAATGTATGTAATGTAGGTAATGTATGTAATGTATGTAATGTATGTAATGTATGTAATGTATGTAATGTATGTAATGTATGTAATGTATGTAATGTATGTAGTGTATGTAATGTATGTAATGTATGTAATGTATGTAATGTATGTAATGTATGTAATGTATGTAATGTATGTAATGTATGTAATGTATGTAATGTATGTAATGTATGTAATGTGTGTAATGTATGGTATGGTATGGTATGGTATGGTATGTATGTATGTAATCTATGTAATGTATGTAATGTATGTAATGTATGTAATGTATGTATGTATGTATGTTATGTTCTGTTCTGTTCTGTTATGTTATGTTATGTTATGTATGTATGTATCTATACATACACATGTATATATATATATACACACTAACTTAGTATATAGACACACATATTGTCAACCATGGTAGATTTGGCAAGATGAATGGGCCATCTTCAAACTTAATGCTCTCAGATGTCTGGCAGTTGCTGAGAGTGGCAACCTTTGGCTGCAGAAAGAGAGTGTCGATGTTGCGCCTCGCATCGAATGTTGCCAAAGTGCACCTGTTTCGTCCTTCGGTTCTGGATTTGCCAGCTCAGGGATGCGACATGTGCACAAATGAGCATGAATGTATGTATGTACGGACGTACATATCTATGCAATGTATGTATGTATGTATGTAATGTAATGTAATGTAATGTAATGTAATGTAATGTAATGTATGTATGTATGTATGTAATGTAATGTAATGTAATGTAATGTAATGTAATGTAATGTAATGTAATGGTATGTAATGGTATGTAATGGTATGTAATGGTATGTAATGGTATGTAATGGTATGTAATGGTATGTAATGGTATGTAATGGTATGTATGTATGTATGTATGTATGTATGTATGTATGTATGTATGTATTGTAATGTATGTATGTAATGTAATGTATGTATGTATGTATGTATGTATGTAATGTATGTATGTAATGATGTATGTATGTATGTAATGTAATGTAATGTAATGTAATGTAATGTAATGTAATGTAATGTAATGTATGTATGTATGTGTGTATGTATTAATGTAATGTATGTATGTATGTATGTATGTATGTATGTATGTATGTATGTATGTATGTATGTATGTATGTATGTATGTATGTATGTATGTATGTATGTATTGTAATGTATGTATGTAATGTAATGTATGTATGTATGTATGTATGTATGTAATTTTATATATACACATTGACAATATATGTACACATTGACAATATATGTACACATATATATATATATAGATACACATACACATATCATACTACTATATAAATAAGAGGGGTTGCACGCCTCGTGCAGCGGCCCTACTTGTTGATCAAACATGTCCAGAGATGGAACCCTGCTCTTGGTCATGTTGTGACGATTTTCCATCCTGGATTCGACCAGATACCCTCCAAATATGGGTTTCCCAAAATGGGGGTACCCCAAACTCATCCAATTTAATAAGATTTTCCATTATTTATAAACCATCCATTTTGGGGTACCCCCATTTATGGAAACCTCCAAATATCATCAAATATGAGAGTTTCAGATGGGCACAGTAAATATCCACACAGTACGTGCACATAGGACATCATAGGACGGTATCAGAAGTGCACCCCTTTACACTGTACACCAACGATCGTGGTTAGAGAGATTCACCATCCGTTTTCTCTGGCCATGGATATCTCTGTTTCGGCACCTGAAGATACAGCTCCGGCAAATCCTTCTGTGCACGGCCAGGGGGGGTGCGTGTCTCATGGGGGGCCTGACACCCACTCGGCTTGAGTCCCATTCAGCAAGAGGAAAGTGTGTTCCCCCTTCTGATATGGTTTAGTGGGCATTTCATGGTTCTTAAGTGGGGCATACTTATATGTGTAATGCAAAACAATAATATTTACAATCATAATCATATTAGTAATAATCATATTAGTAATAATAATCGTAATGACAATCACAATAATATATCCCATAAAACACATAATATGATTATCATTACTAATATGATTCTGATTGTTAATATTACCATTACCAATGGGATATATTATTACTAATAGTAAAATACAATGACTATTCCATCCCCCTGGCATTGAACACCTCCATTCCAACGATCCCTGCACAATGATGGGAACTCTGCATGACTCTACCAGTTCGACCCGGAAAAATGTCATCCCACTGGAAGGGTACCCGGCCTGGTAAACGTTTACATAACGAATTGGAACATCACCATTTTTCATGGGAAAATTCACTATTTCTATGGTGATTTTCCATAGTTATGTTAAATTACCAGAGGGTAAATCCCATTCAATCAGGTTTCAATCATTTTTTTTGAGACCAGTTGATTTCAAGAGGCGATGAACAAATTCCAGCCGAAAACGCCCCCCAAAACGCCGAAAAACGACTGCGACCGCACCCGCCATGGGCCACATGGTTTCACAGGCAGCACCACAAGTTGACTCTGCTGGGGAGAAGTTCAGCCTGGAGATTGTTGGCGAAAAATCCACTGCTATACATGTGGATATCTATGTGTTTAAATTACATGTACACACACTACTATATACATACACCATATATATAATTATATATTCACACTATTATTTCCTATATTATATATATATATATATTTACACCAAATAATATATATATATATACACACTATATTATACATACACGCTGAATTCTATGTCATGATTCTAGGTAGCCATAGACATATTTATACATAGCTCCTTCTCGAAGGGAGAAATGGGACGATCATTTTTATCGGGATTTGATATGATTGAATAGCTGGTTGGTGGTGACTGGAACCATGGAATTTTGACTGACTTTCCAGAAACAGTTGGGAATTTGGAATGGAATAACATCCCAAATGACGAAGTCTATCATTTTTCAGGGGGTTGAAATCACCAACCAGTGATAGAAAAGATCCATTCAGACAGGGGATACATATATATATATACATATACATAATCTGTAAATAATCAATGAATTATCAATGATGATTCGCTATTTTCGATTGATGTTGAAGATATTTTGACCCAGTAATACGTCGCCAACCGCTGTGGCCACTGCATTGAAAAAGCTTGGCCCTTTTTTTGCTGGAGATGTGGAAGTTGAGGGGGGACAATGGGGACCAACAACGACAAGTGGTTGAAGGATTTCATATGTGCCATGGTGAAAACATGTTGTGTTTCATATTTTTCTTAATATTCTTTGGGTTTGGACACACTCAAATTGACTCCAGATTTTCAGACGCCTGCATTGATTTCCACTGATACCTGGGTGTTTTTTTTGATGCATAACCACACTGTTGCACAAATAAACACCCAGAAGGTATACCGTCGTACGGACCGTATAGCCAGTTATATGGAGGAGGTTGCTAAATCCACTTACAGAAATGCACATCATGGAAATTTCGGCTGGTTTCATCAAGCGTTTGATCCCTACCTCCAGAATTGACAGGGAAGATGCGATGTACGATATTTGATATTACTCTCTGGTAATTTGTTACAGTTTGCTATTGAAAATGGCACCTGGAAATACTGTAGTTGATTTACCTATTAAAGATGGTGATTTTCCAGTTCGCAAACTGAGTGCATCAGGATGATCAAGTCGCCATTTCACGTGAATTGGTGGTACCAAAAAATGAAGGTCTCGCCATAGGCGGGCATATCCCCCAATTTTTTTTGGCCTCAAAAATGGCCTTTAGAAAGGTACAGTACCTCAATTTTAGGCACCAAAAAATGGGCCGTTGATCATCGTTGATCTCTGAGGCCCACAGGCACCACACTGTACTGCAAGGCTGGGGGGGTAAATCGTAAGGGCCGCCTGCGACCGAACCATGGAAGAATGGTTTGTGGGGTAACAATTCCAAAAACCCCTTGCTTCAGGTGGTGAAATATTACAGTAGAATTATTAATGTATAATTTATCTAGATTGTCCAGATCTATACTCATGACATCATTCCTGTTTAATTTTCATGATCCTAGACACTCCATTGACCCATAAAAACGGGTACTTTGCCCCAATGAGTATATAGTAATTACACCAATTTTTGTGGGTACTTTGAGTCTCTTGGATAGCATACCTGCGGGTGCCAGTGCAGTCTAGTGAAAAGTGGATATATGGGGATGGGTCAATACCTATTATTACCATATTTGGGGGAATAACCATCTATTCACCAGCTATTTTAGAATACCTAGGGTACCAGGGTTTTGACCCATAACCATATAACCATAGTTGCAGTGCTTATATCATTGTTGCCCTGGTTATATAGCCATGAAAACAACCTTAGCTGCACCCCCAGTCGTCGTCGCTTTGGAATGATATGCTTTCCCATGGAAAAATCATCATGGAAAGTGCTTCAACGAGATTGAAATCAATGGAACATCTTAAAAGATATCAAACTGAAACATGATCCATTGAAAAAATGAAAAATATCTTTTGCTATCCATTGAAAAATATCATGATATGGATAACCATTTTCAAACTGTTTCATTGATATGTCCCGAAAAAAAAATCAAAGTTTGATGGATCCATTCTTGATCAATGGACATCCCGAAAAGATACCCTCTGGTAATTTAACATAGCTATTGAAAATGGCCCAGTCGAAATAGTGGATTTTCCCATTAATAGCATGGTGGATCTTTCCATTGCTATGTAAACGTTTACCAGAGGGTATGGGTTTCACAGAAAAAAGATGCCCCGCAAAAATCCGAAAAATCGAACGTCTCCCCTGTCGAGGCGGGCCGCGATGGCATCTCGCTTGGGGACTGCCCTTTCACCCACAGTGTGCAGATGGCCCTAGGCGGGGTATCATCCACAGGGGATGATGATTCGAGGTGTCCTATATGGCTACCCCAAAAGGGATGGTTTTTATATCGTGGAAATTCCGAAGTCCAAGATGGATGATATGGGAATTTGTATGATAGGGTAGTTTTTGGGGATTTTATGTACCTTGTAAGATATTTATGTACCCAATCATAATCCATTAATAGGGCCATAGGGATTAATTATGATTTTTATGTACCCATTGGAAGGGTTTTCATGATGTGATCCAGACAAATTGGGGAGATGCCCAAGAATTTCTGATTGCCCAGATGTAAGAAATTAGAGAGGCAGGCTGCAAGCCCACCACGAGGGCTACCTCATTCAGTATACAAGTGTTTTGAGCCTGGTTACAACATGTTACAACTGCATATCCAAACTTGGGGGTAGTGTTCCAGTTTTACAAGTGGCTACATAACCACAGAATACCACAGAAACGGCCCCAGATCCCAACAAACATAGGGTCAACACTATGGTTATTCCCTGGAAAATAATCCCTGGCCCTCCAAGAGGGTTCAATTTCTAAGGGAGATGGTTTCGGTAAGGAAAAACAGGTCCACCCTATTTTTTGATACATGGGTTGTGCTACTTTCTGCTTCCGATATATTTACCATTCTTAATCGCTTCATGTTTGTTGGTGAAACATGAGCATGCTTCGACCATGGAAGTGCATGTTTCTCCCTACGGTTTACCGCCATTTTTCACTGGTTCATGCTGAAACATGTTTAGACCATGTATTTTCCTTGGTTTTTCCCCATGGTCCCTGGTTGAACCGACCATGGTCGCTTCGTTCTGAATCACCTTTGAGCGCCTCCCACGATTCAGAGCGAAGCTTTTTTCAGGTCTGAAGAGCGTCTCCTACGAGGTGGTCCCCTGCACCCAGGCAACATTTTTTTGGGGGGAATAGGTACCATCTGGGTAACTTCATGGTATGGGGCTTTCCAATGGTACATATATTTAATGGTATGTATATACATATATATATATATGGGGCTTTCCTTAGTCATGGGGGTACAAAATAGCTGGATGGTTTATTTCATGGAAAATCCACCCCAACTGTTACGGAACCTCCATATTTTTTTGGGGGAATGACCATCCAGCTCTACCAGCTATGACTTATAGGGTACCGACAAAGGGTACCAGGCTTTTGACTAAGCATATGGATGATTTCACCGGCTAGGGTATTTCTGTTCCAGAGGTGATTTCTCGTTGTTTTCGAGCTTTTTGAATGGTATACGGTATACCCTCTGGTAAATTAACAGTTCGACCCTGAAAATCACCAATTTTTAGTGGAAACTAAGCTTCCAACCCCTATCTGCCAGGGTCTATGTTAATTTACTGGAGGGTATCCGTTTTTCAGAATTTCTCGTTGCTTTTGAAGTTCTGGTCATGAATTCTTGAGAACATGGGGATTTGACACGATTCAACCAGATAAGTGAGAAATGCTTCACAGATCTTCACAGAATTTCTGGTCATTTTTCACATGACCCATATGGTAAAATGTTGGATTTAAGCTGCACAGCTGGTTTTCTCTTTTTTCTGGCCAAACATGGGGTGGGGGGGGTTGAACTGCCAGCCTTAAGGGCTCAGGATCTCGAGGGAACATACCATGGATCCACGAAAAAAAGATCACTACCCTAGGTTTTGGATTTTTTGTCCATACCAAAACTGGATAAAACTGGTTGTTTTTCAGAAATATGGACATCTATTTGACATCTATGATCGTTTCCAGAAAGTGACATAAAATTGGTGACCACTTTTGGGCTTTTCGCAGGACACAAAGCCAAAGTGGTTGGTCGAGGCCCAGTCGAAATGGCCAGGGTTGAGTTCCCGAGGGTGTTCTACCATGGAAATGGGTTGGTTGACCAAGAAATGAAGCAATTTTAACCATGAAAATCTGAAAAAGGGGATATCAACCAAGAAGAAGTATAGAACTTTAACATATTTATTAGCATGTTTTAGTGTCCCAAGCTGATCATAGGTGATCTCGATTTCTTCCTGTGGAAACAAAGCCCTCAGGCACCTGGCAATCCAAAATGGTGTAATGTAGCTGGAAACTCCACCAAATCCAATATTCATAGATGATTATAGATGATTAACATTGATTTACTTTTTGCAATCGGGGATTTTTCGTTGCTTTATGTTGCCGTGTTTGATTGTAGGGTCACTGAGAACGGGAACCACTTATAGGCCAAGTACACTTTCGACTTTTGAGCGGCCAATTGACTCAAATCCGATATGATGTTGTGGAGTTCTAACCTCCTCAACTTCGTCATTCCCAATTCAGGAAGGCAAACATTACAGCAACCCTGAAACATTGGATGTAAAAACAAACACAGCTTTCCTGTGTGTTCATTTTGTCTTGAAGCAACTGCACATAGCAACTAGCACGATCCCCCTCATCACTTGGAAATTGGCTAGTAACCAGATGTTTAGTATATAGGTCGTTTATCTTGCTTACCCACTAGAACAGCTGAGTTGTAACCATAGTTCCTCACCGATTATATCATATAAGCAAAATGTTTGAGATCAGATCACAGAATTGGATATAATATATACAGTTACAGCGGGATTTTCATGGGAAGCACTGAACCCTTGAGTTTGATGGTAAAAACACAGATTTCAACATTTTCAACCATCAACAATTTCTTGTAGCAACCCCAAGTCATAGATAGAAAAGTGGAAACCCACTTTAAATTTTGGAACATGAAGTACATCTCATCTCTGACATACTGGTTTCACTTCTAGAAATCGGCGGTTGCTATACATCAAACATCATCAAACCATTTTTCCTGGGTCAATTCCCAGGAGTGCGGAGGAAAGATGCCCTGTGTGTGTCACAAGGGCGAGCCCCATGTGGAAACCTCTGAAATTCTGGTGGGGTGCTGGGCAGGTGCCTTTAAGCGGGTTGCTTCATAAGACATCCCCGTGGCCTAGCCATGGAGGTTCATAACGACTAGTTTTTATTATTAGGCCAAATCCCATTTTTGTGCTGATCTTCTGTTGCTTTTCAATTGCCGCAATTGAAACAAGCAATTACAAGAAACAAAAACACACAGCTTGGGAATGGACCTGTGTTTTTATTTTGGGACATTTTGTAATCGGTGGACGTGGGGATATTCCATGTATTACTGGGGGGTATAACCCATTTACTAAGTGGGATGCACCCCGAAGTAGCCTTCCATTGACGTAAAACGCCACGAGAAAAGCGCCACAGGCGTGGATTGAGAAGGAATTTCCCAGCCCAGCACTGCAACCCACGGAGGCTTTGGCGATGGAGGCGCGGACACATGGGGATATTGGAATGTAACACAAAAGAATATACAGAGAGCATGTATCCCAAGCGAGATGGAGTACCATGAAGATTTGCTGAAATGTGGTACAGTGCTTGGACTTCTAAAATCTTCTAAAGGTTTGACACCTTGACCATAGTTTCCAAATTCCAACCTTAAATGTTCTTATATTTACAAGAGTTGAATGCCCAGTTTTAGTTTGTCGAGGGTTCGAACCAAGATATTGAACCAAGAATTACGGGTAGATAACTAATTAAGGTTTGGAATGCAACCACCACTCATCAGGAAAGCGGTTTTACTCACAATATAGTTCCTTTTCAATCTACTCTTGTCCTCGCCAGCATTCCAGACTACTATAGATTATTGCTTTTGTTGAGCCTTCAAACAACAGATCAATAATGACATCATAACATATCATAACATATCACAAGATATCATATCATAACATATCATAACATATCAAAACATATCATAACATATCATAACATATCATTGGAAAATGATATTCGCCAACATTTTGCCCAAGAGATTCTATTGACCCTTGATGTTTTTTTGGCGCAAGAAAACCCGTGAGGTGAAGTCTTGTGGTGTCTTTCCGGCCATCGCTCAGCATCTTGGGCCGATCCATCTGGTGGGTCGCTCCGTGGGTTTGTCATGGCCGTTTTAATCGGAAAATTGATTCAACATGATGATTCCCCAGTGGATGTTTTTTTTTTTGGGTACTTTTGCGACAAACAATCATGGGTGTTTTTTTTTTTGTGAAACAGTGACCAACTTAAGGGATATATATATATATAATTGTAGATATAATCAGCATTTTTTATTGTGGATTTTGACCAGCTTATATAAGTGAAATAGATATGATGATATTCTGGACACTCCGAGTCCTGCGCAGCCAGAAATCGTAGACTTGGTTTGAGTGAGTTTATTTACCGGAAACACTTTTGTAATGGTGAAAACACGATTAAAAAAAATGTGGATCACCGTTTTATATAAAATGAATTAAAATGAGTCTCCTTAATTGACAAGGGGTCCGGTAAAATATCTACAAAACAAGGGGTTTTGCTGCAGATTTCCCTTGACAAATCACCAGGGCGCCGCTGAGGTTCACCAAAAATACGGATGCAGCGAAGGATTTGGAACTTCGTGGCGTGGCCGTGGGGTTTTCGATTGGTTTTTGGTCATGGTGGGACAATCGAAATGACTGGACTATCCATGGAAAATCATGGTGATGACATAATCATGGCATTTAATATCGATTTTATGGTATAATAGTGGGATTTTATATAGATTTTATGGATTCATCATCGGATTTAATGGGGTTTCCTTGAGAATTCGTGGTGCTGTCTTTGGTCATTCACCCCAGGGAACTTACCCTACTTTTCAGGACTAGTGCTACTTACCCTACATGACCATAGTGATTTTGGGGTTGTAACCCACAAAAACCTTTGGTACAAAAAAAACAATCTCCTCCTGGAGACGATCTTCCAATCCCATCCTTTTTCGTGTGAAACGAATCTTGTTATCTTGTTGTTTTCAGGGCCATCATCCCATGTCATTATGTTCAAGAAATGAGGCATTGTCAATGCCAGGCTGGTACCCTCAATTTGTTGATGGTGCAACCACAGATGTATAATTTTCGTGCTAGGAGGATCACCTCCCTTTCAAGTTATCACCGGTGAATGTGTACCCAGAACTTCCGGTTGGGATAGGCCACATTTGTTGGGACCTAAACAATCCGAGGTAGCAAGTTGGATGGCGCCCTGGCATCTCTCTCGAAATGTTTGGAGGGCAAGGCATTTCTACAAGGCGACCAACCGGGCTTGTTGGATTGAACCTTGGCCGCGCGAATGTTGTTGTGGGCTGGTTGGTTTTTGGTTGACATTCTGCAAACATCGAAGATGTTGGGGTTTACCTTATTAAGAATATAGGGGCGTAACTATCTGTTTTTTTTTGTTCCTATCTTCAGTAGTGTCAAGCCCTTGTTCCCGAACGATCAACAGCAGGGCCCAAGGGTTAACCACCCAGACACGTGTCATATGAAAAAATGTCATTTATGGATATAAATGGATCCATCCTCCAACCGAAAAGCAGCCATAGAAAAATCGCAGTAAACAAAATTCAATCTCTTCCTAAACAAACATATCTTAAAAGACCTCCAAAAGACCGTTCAGTCTGGAAGATCTTCCTGAAGTTGGGTTCAAAAATGTTGTTTATATTGGGAGCCTGTTGAACTCCTCCGCCAGAATTTGCATGCAACACACAGTGTTCACTTCCAGGGACATGATGGATGATAGAGCCATTCAGCTATATTTTCATATTTTTTAAGTTTTTTCATACCCAGTGTTGTAAGTTCGTCACTAGCATTTTCTTCTATGATTTTCCCAGCTATAAACTTCCATTTAGTGCGGGATTTTTCATGGATTTTCCAACCATGTTTGATTTCCAGGGGGTAATGAACTACCGTCCATCATTATCAAGTAAGTAACCCATGATTTTCCATTATCAACCATTATTTATACATCATTCCAATGAAAATCTGTTAGAACCCATTGCATTTTGTTGGGAGATGGGTAGGAAACCGCGGGGTTCCCCGAGGTGATATCCTTCCCAAACTCCACGTGCGCCGGGGTGCTGGAGAATATGTGTCATTTTGTTGGACGTACTGCTAGACACACATGCAAATCAGACATATATGACATATATACCGTATATACACATATTTATGCATATATATATAATATGATATACAATTATATACACACATAGCCATGCAACTATGTAAATGTATATACAGTATATATATATATCTATGTATGTATATGTACGTGGTACCCCCCCGTCAAATAAGGAACTTTTGGCTTAGAATTTTGCATGTTGCATTTGTAACACAGTTTATAAGAAGGCTACCGCCCCCCTGCCGCCGCAGGGGCAGAGCATTTTGGCATCTATTTTGGGGTTGCTATCTTCTTCTTCTTCTTCTTGCTATTTCCGCTTGCTTCTTCTAGCTTCTAAGCTAGTTTTTGCCAGCGGGGGGAAAACCGCGCCAGCGTTTTGGCCGTTTTTTTAAAACACACATATTTCACGTCACTGGGTGGGGGGGGATGTTAACGTTCATGTTAACTTGCGTCCCATGCACATCTAACGTTACGTCACTGGGTGGGGGGGGATGTTAACGTTCATGTGAACTTGCGTCCCATGCACATCTAACGTTACGTCACTGGGTGGGGGGGGATGTTAACGTTCATGTTAACTTGCGTCCCATGCACATCTAACGTTACGTCAATGGGTGGGGGGGGATGTTAACTTCATGTTAACTTGCGTCCCATGCACATCTAACGTTACGTCAATGGGTGGGGGGGGGATGTTAACGTTCATGTTAACTTGCGTCCCATGCACATCTAACGTTACGTCACTGGGTGGGGGGGGATGTTAACGTTCATGTTAACTTGCGTCCCATGCACATCTAACGTTACGTCAATGGGTGGGGGGGGGATGTTAACGTTCATGTTAACTTGCGTCCCATGCACATCTAACGTTACGTCACTGGGTGGGGGGGGATGTTAACGTTCATGTGAACTTGCGTCCCATGCACATCTAACGTTACGTCAATGGGTGGGGGGGGGATGTTAACGTTCATGTTAACTTGCGTCCCATGCACATCTAACGTTACGTCACTGGGTGGGGGGGGGATGTTAACGTTCATGTGAACTTGCGTCCCATGCACATCTAACGTTACGTCAATGGGTGGGGGGGGGATGTTAACGTTCATGTTAACTTGCGTCCCATGCACATCTAACGTTACGTCACTGGGTGGGGGGGGGATGTTAACGTTCATGTTAACTTGCGTC